AGGGAAACGTCCACACTAGATATGTATTAAACATATATTAGACATACAGTAAATGTCTATATCAGATATACTTACTTATGGCAATATTCAACAATAATGTCTCTTTTGAGTTTTAGAACTTCATCCTATAATGAGACAATATTTTCTTCTTAGTATCATGCATGTAGGACTTACATGTACTGTGAATCTAACAAAACCAAAACACTTATAACATCTTCTATTAATATGATTTTAAAAACCCTACCAGGTTATGTACAGTATAACAAACATCTAAACTATGAAATGCCAAAACTTTAAGGAGGATAAACATCAATAAAGATTTCAACCAGTACGCCAGACCCAGTAGACAGTTAAGGAAGTCTTGTAAATAAATTCAGAATTATTTTATTCAAGTCTGGTTCGTATAATTTTGTTCACAAATTCTGTAATATTTCCTAAAAGACTCTTCAGCTAGCAGTTATTTCTTCATACACTCAGCCTACTGAGCTGGCAAGAAGCTTATGAGTACATTAAACTAAATAATTTATGCTATTTCAAAAAGAGAATAGCCATTAAGTGTTTGTGTAGAAGGAGTTTGATTTTACTACCTGGTAAATTCTTAAAGGCCATGCCTTTACAGAAGTTTAATCCAGGATCCATGTTCTCACATTTAGACACTGAATAAAGAGGAATTTGCAAAAGGCAAAATCTATACACAGCATGATATCTTTACAATTACTGTTTTTTTATAACTATCACATATTCTTCTAAAATTAAAAAAATAATACAACTGCTAGAAATATTTATTAAGAGATCCTTCCGCACATAGTGTCTGTCTCTAGCTAGGACCACTGTTGGATGCTTCATATGTGAAAGCCCAAAGCAGTTCTGCACCTATCAGCATAACTGTAGCCAGAACTTATCTCCTTACCTAAGCTGGAAATGATTTAGGATGCCCGTTAGCATCCACAACCTTTAGTTAGCCACGTGTCTGCAGACTGCTGCTGCTTTCCATGCACCTCTCCACCACCAGCCTTGCAGCCATGCCCATGGGAGACCACGGGGAGACGGCACAGTGGAAGAAGGTTCACCTGAGTCTCCCACTACTGCCGGTGGAGCTAGGCCACCATCTGCAGCTCTGCGCCTGACCTGCACACCCTGGCCACGTCCCAGCCACCTCCCCTCCGCTGAGGTTTCCACAACTGCCGCCAGCTTACCTTTCTTTCTAAAGTAACTACGGAGTAAGTACAACACTAACTCAAAGCTACCACTTTGCTTACGTGCCAAAACCCAACAGTCCCTCTCAAAAAGGCCGAGGAGCCTCCTGACGTACTTACAGGGTTTTTAAGCATGCTGCCCAGCGCCTCTCTCTTTTGAGTGAAAGTGTTCAGCATCCTATCTCGGGGTCCCCGCTTCTCCAGCTGAATGGAAATGAAAGCTTCTGGAGGCCTAATGAGGGGGAAAAAAGCATGGGAGCTGAGAAGAGTCACCTCTCAAAAGGCAAACTGATAACTTCCTTCTGAACCACTCCAAAAATTCTTTAGATTAGACACAGCTTCTCCAACAACATTAATTTTACTCATTCCTTATCTACCACAGGTACAAATATACTGGGTCTTGTGGATTAGCGACCAGAAATGAGATAGCTCTGGGGAAAGTCTCCCAGTCTACATATTTTTCATTTTGGTGCAAGTGAAATAAATGATGAAAGACATTATGACAGTTTAAAAAAAAAATAAAGTAGCTTCTCGTACTGGCATTAAGGTAGTAACAGAAACTGTGGGCTGCCTGGGCTAAGGTGGACATGTTGAATGCCTTTTTATTTGTACCTTCAAACCACAGGTTGTTCAATTAGCATAGAGTTTTCAGTGCTTGACTTCCAGCTGATCGGCACTGAATAATATAAAACATTGCTCTAACTGTGTCTTGCCAGCACCCTGTTAGTACACAGTACCCCATGTAAGAGCCACAACATCGGGCCGAGGAGCTAGTAAGTGGGCAGACGAGCACCAAGACCAAGCTCTGTTCTACAGGAGGAGCAAAGTCATATTTAATGGCCTTATTCTGGCCCACTGATGCTTAGAAACTCCTTTGAGATATCTGGATTCCCTGCTTTAATTAACAGGTTATCTCCATGGGGTTTGATGTGAAGCCAGAGTCCCATTGACAAGGTATGGCAAGACAACCACAGCGCTCAGACCACCAATTCACACCAAGAAACACAGCGTCTGGGAGCATGCCCTTATGATCAAGAGCCCCTCACTATGGTTTTTCACAGCAGAGGCCCAGTGCAATGTAAATCAGGTAGTGCTTGGGATTTACACGTGTGCCAGACCGACAGCTACCCAGTGGAGCGGGCCTGGCCAGTCTGTAACAAATACCTTTTAGTGGTACAGAGTAAACCTGGAGAACGCCCGGGAGAAAATGAAGTGGCCGGTGTGGTTGCTTGCAGCAGCTGATCCTCTGCTTCACTCCCAGACAATGAATTTCTTCCACTTGCTGAACTGCTCTGACTTCTTAGACTTACATTTCCTTCCTAAAATATCAGGAATATCAATTCTGTGCCTGCTCTCATAAAGACTGGCAGCTCTTCCTACTAAATCAGAGCAGATTTGCAATTCTGTATGCTTTCATTTACCCTAGCTTTATGATGCAATAATTCACTAGGATCATTGAAAGTCACAGAAGAAAAACATTCCTCATTGAGCAGAGGCATAATGAAACTGTAGCAGCAGTAGTGTCAGAGGCAGTACCCAATTTATAAATCAGACAACATTCTCTACATTCAATCAGCTTTAAATAAAATATGAATATTCCCAGATATTCACACTTTCAAATATGTACAAATAATTGTATATGTAGATCACTTGTCTGGAAAATCAGTTTGCCTCCCCACAAACACAAAAAACTACACTCCTCCCTCCACATCACCTATCTAAGACCCAGTGGCTCCTGGTATGAAGGAACCTCAGAATTTTCTGCATATTTATATAAAAATAATCCTGATTTCCAAGCAGGAACAAGCAGTACTTTTCCAAGTTCTTGAAGTCATACTTCAAAAGTGGCACAGGCACTTTAAAGTCCAAGGGAGCTAAAAAAGCACATTAATTCCCCTGCAAACCAAAGAGAGCTATTTTCTTTTGTGAATAGTGGCAAAGGTAAAGACCAAAATGGGGGAAAAAAGCTATATTTTGAGGGTTGAGTTCCTTCTCCTAACTAAGTACTAGCTAGGCTTAGGTCAGTGCCAGCTTGCAGATGGATCTACCAAAGAACACCTTTGCTCTGTTGCAGTAGAAAATGGACTTAGTGCCCAGAGAACTATTCTTCCTGCTTGGCTGAGCATTGGGAATATCCAACATGTATTAAAAAAACAGTGGTCACCAACTACCTTACAAGTAAATGGGCAGACTTGAGCAATGTCTTTGTTCCCGAGAAATGTCTCGGCCTATAAACAAAGTCAGTAGAGGAGAGCTGGGCACTGAGGTTAACAATACATGGGAGCTTGCCATTCTGAAGGTCCTAGACCAGTATCACACAGACTGGTCTGCATGAGGACTAATTGTGCAGTGAGACTGGATTGGTTAAGCCTGTGGCCTTCATGGCACAGCCCATGGGTCTTGGCTATCAACCAACCAGACCATGGTGCGGGTGTTGCAGAGGACACAGCTCCCTTGGCATCACGCAACCAGCTCTCCTTCACATGGGCTGAAGGGAGATGCCATGGGCCTTGGCCTGTGTCAGGTGGGCAACCATACCACCCACGGCACTGGTGTGTCCCTCGGTGCACATACAGCCCGTGACATCCTGCCACCATCTCCCTGTCCTATGCAAGAAGGTTATACAAGATTTCTTCCAATTTTACATGTTAATCTGGAATAACAGATGCATGACCTCCTTATCACTGCCTCTCTTGGTTGTATTAATTGTCCTCTGTCTGTAAGTTTGGTTAGTTAGCTAATAACCCGCTGACTGTAAATCAGCAAAAACTGATCCAGAACGGATGCAGCACCCATTAAATGATTTACAGAGAGAAGACACCTGAAAATGAAAAATACAGTCGCTGCCATTCAGTGGAAAAGAAACTATTCAGCATTTAGACTGTAAAAGAGCTTCAAATGTGTGGAAGATCAATCCTTTCCAACTGGGGCATGAAGACCTATTCCCAGAGTAAGACTACTCATGGTTATCAGCAGGGACACACAACACCAGCACTTTGTATGGCATCGTGGAGAATTGATTTCGGAAAGAAACAGAGGTTGATCAGTTCCACTGAGGATTTCGGTGCTGCAGGATCTGATTATAAATGAAGACGGGGAATCTCAGGCTTCTCAGTGAGAGGGAATGGAAACCAGCCTCTGGGATGAACTAGACCATGGCCAGCCCTGGGAGGCTGCACACCTGGCCATCCAGCTGCCAATGTCTGGGTACCCACCAAGTGGCTGCAGAGCACAGCAGCTCCCTGGGACTCGGCCCATGTGTTGCCAAAAGTTGCATGAGATCAGTGCTGCGAAGGGTTCCCGCTCAGCAGCCCGCAGGCAGCTCTTTTTCCTGGTGGGCTGTCAGGATATCAGTTTGTTTAGTCCAACAGATCTCAGCTGTACAGTGCAGAATCACTGTCCTGCTCATGTTGGACACGATGCAAACCATGCAGTGGTGAAACAAGTTTGTTCTGGTGCAGCCGACAGTCTGTGAGGTGAGTGTTGGCCCTAGGACTTTCCTTACATTCACCTCCGGTGTAAGGAAAGGAAATACATAGGACACTGCTCTAGGAACAGCAACTCATGCTCAGAAGCTTGCAAGTCACAACTGTGTAAGACATCTTTCCCTCTCCTCCCCACACTGCAACTCCAAGTGACCAAAAATGAGACAACAAGGAGTCACGATAACGTCTTATTTTTCATTTTTAACTCAGAAAGAAACTGGTGTCACACAGGAAATGTTTTAGCCTCATTTCGTTAGCTGGTTCTACCCATCTTTAGCAACTTTTGAACCCTCTGACTAATTTTAAATACATTTGGCATAAGAACAGAGTTCTCAAAGGTATAAAGCTCCTTCCAGTTTTGCAAAATCAGCATTCAGCTGGTGAGGACAGCCCCCTGCTCGGGGAAAAGGCAAGGAGAGTTTGACCCCTAGCCATTTTGCTCAGTTTGCTTAGCTCCAAGGAGGCAGTGCCCAGCTGGGCTCCCAGCACCACAGCCAGGCAGTCAGCACACACACGGCTACAAACCTGCCACAAAACACAGTGCTTCTTGCCCAGCTAGACAGCAAAACATGGGCACTTCCCATACACAGGAATGAGCTGAGGGTACTGCCTGGTGGCCAGGGACCGAGCGTGGGGAGCATCGGGGGATGCAAGAGGGGTCTGAGGGGGGACGGACGGGGTGTCCTAAGGAACATGGAAAGATGTGTCAATATAAAAACACAGAAGGCAAGACCAGATCCCTAAGGAATCTCTATTTGCTTACAAATTCAAAATTGCATACGAGGTCACTTAGCTCATCGCTATAATGCAGCTGTCTCTGGAAGAGGCACAACAGCTGCATAAGAAAATGCAACACAGAGCCCTACAACAATTTAGCTTGTATGAAGCAAGGGCAGCTCCTGAGTACCAGATCATAAACATAGGATGAAAAAAAAAAAAAAGCAGGCAAAAATAAGGTAAGGAACAGTAATGGCTTGGTGACCCTGGCAGGTAGCTTTTGAAGCAATATTGCGGCATTAGGATGACATGAATGTTTCCCATTGGAAATAGTGTTGACCATACTTCTGTTTTCAGAAGACAGGACAAACGAAAGCAGCAGGAACTGATGGTTTCGCCATCCCAGAAGAATGCATATTTCAAGGTCAGTTTGTGATTGCTAGCCTTAATGTGTACCACAGGCTATAAGATTTCACCCATGCCTTTTGAATTCAATTCATCTCCAACCTCTTTCAGTTCTCTCTTGAGGTATATTTTTAGCTATGCTTCATCACTTACCCAGCTAATAGACTTTAAATAAATCACTGATGTGACACCATTTATTTTTATGTCATATGCTAATACACAATCAGTGCAGTTCCTGCAGTCATCAGTGATGATGTTCCAAGTATTGCGCAGGGCTGCCATCCAATTGATTATAAGCAGAATTAACAGATGGCCTCCTTGGGCTAAGCTTGACAAAACCCATTATTACTAGTGCAATGTGAGGAAGAAGATGCTGCTAACCTTGATGTCCAGGGTACGGGGAGGCTGGACCAAGTAACAAAAGGAGGCTTGCTGAACTGCCACCAAAAGAGCATTCTTCTGAATGACCTGACAGGCCAGAATAAGTTGCATGTTCCTTATTGCAGATGGACACAAGAGCTAAGGAGAGGGAAAACAACGTGTCAGGCATTTTTTCTGCCATTTAAAAGACAGGTTTCTTTACAGACATTGGTCTTTGTCTTGCAGTACTTCAGCAGCTTAATTTAATGAAAGCAGGGGCAAGGGAGAGCATTCTATTATATTTGTACACGTTGTTATCATTGAAACATGACTAAAAGTAGAGATCAAGGAAACATTTCATTCATTTGTATTTAGTGAGTTGTATTCTCAGCTCTACTCTGTAGAGCAGTTCAGTGCTAGACAGTGCAGCAAAGTGCAAACAGGCTGGGAAAGGAGTACACACCAAATAAAACATATTTGTTTCTCCTTGGCAAAGTTTTATTGCGTGCCACCCTGCTGCAAAGTCCAGGTCATGACTGAGTTGGTGGTAAGAAAGAGACTTTGCAGAGAACCTTAAAGAAGAAATCTCCATGGCCTGGTGGTCTGTGATACTGTTTTTATACACCCATAGAAAGAGGGAAGGACTAAGTATGCCAAATAGCATTGAAGACTAAGGTTGGTTTTTTTCATTACAGAACTCTCTACACCAAATGTTATCACTATGTGTGCATACAGCCACACACAGGCATCCTGCTTTATTTAACAAATAAACTAAACTCAGACTAAACCCTGCTGACTCAATGAGTTTCACCCCAGTAAGGATTCCTGGATTAGGCCACATTAACAATCAAATTTTCAGTGCAATTTCAGGAAATTAGTTATAAAACAGTAGACTAAATCATATTAACACTCAGAGGAAGGCAAACAGTAGAGAAGTTTATAGTGTGTAGTAAACACATGACTGAGGCCCTTACATACTCCAGCAAATAAATAATAACATAATACACATTTTTTCCTTATTCTGCAAATTAAATCATTCACCTGCATAACACCATCTCTTGTACGGAAACTAAACTTTCCAATATGACTGTCGATTTCTTGAATGCTTAATGGTAAGCTGGATGGAATATATCTGCAATAAAAGCAAAATTATCTATAAACGTGGAGTATGGCACAGAAACAAGCCAAACTGAGGATGAAAGGAAAATAGTGATAAATTCAGAAATACTTTTCATTCCATTCCACCTTTAAATGTAGAACACATAATGGAATTGGTCACTCTAGTCCCTAATTTAGTGATACTAGGACGTTGCTTTAGTTTTCAGAAGTAGTTTTGAAAGAAAAAATAATGTATCCCATGATGTTTTGTGGTTGACTTTACGATGACTTACTAGCTCCTTCTAGATGAGCTTGGTCTAAACCAGTGAAAAAGCTGCTTGTTTAGTTTCCAGTATTGGTTCCTAATGTGTTTTTTTTTTTTTTGTGTGCTGCTGTACAGTCTTCTAAGCTCTGATATCCATCACTGCCCCAATTCAATTAGGAGCTGAAGTTTCATTCCAAGCTGCTTGCAATAGCTAAACTTGTTTGGAACGGCCCAATTTGCACAGCAGGTATAGTGTATGCAAGGCAATAGGATGCAAACAACAGCACGGGACTGCAGGTGGTATATGTACAGGTCGGAAGGGAGCCCTGCTGCCTCTGTCAGCAGGGAACAACTGGCAGGATGCCCTCCCTGAATATAGTAAGATAACTCACAGGTTATTTCCTTTCTTCCTCCCAAACCGTGATCTAAACTACACACAAAGCGGTGTGTTTACACGTGTGTACAGAAGCACGTATTTACCAACACTTTAAAGAGCAAATCAAGGCAACTGTAAAATCTACTTGGGTCCAATCACTTTCCTCAGGGGAAAAGGGAAGATAATAAATAGCCTTTTTGTTGTGCAGAGATTGGGTCTAGTAGCTACTGAGTTGAAAAACAAAGACCAATGACGTCACTTCATGAAGTGCGGCATAACTCTAGGAGAATAAGCTTTCTTCGTGTTCAGAATAAGGACTTCATTCACAACAGTTTTTGAGGTCCCGTTTTGCTACTATGGGGTTTGGGGCAATCACTTTCAGGGCAGCCCTGTTAGGCATCCCTCACTTTGAAAGTAAATGCACTTTAGTCCCAAAATTGCCACACAAATTTGGTGTCTCCTCACTTTCACGGCTCAACAGTTTTAAATTAGCATTGTTCAGTCCCAGACTCCATACAAAAAGGAAACAAATCATGCAGCATTTTACATTTTCTGCCTGAATAATTTTATGTATTTTATACACTGAAGTTTTTGTGGCTTATATGTGATCCTAAGCAGACTAAAGGCTTCATCCCACCCAATCTAAAGAAATTATGCCCTGTGAAACTCCAAAAATTTCAGTCTACCTGTCAACACAGCTGTCGTCTTCCAGGAGAGATGTAATGTATAGTGGTGGGAGGTGGTCTGCTTTCTCCCCGTGAGATGCAGATTCAAACAGCATGGGCCTCAGGTACAAATGGAACTCCCCAAAACCTGCTTCCATGGCAAAAGCCTTATATAACCTAGAAACAAAACCACGTGGATGCATTTGAAAAATTAACTTCCTGTCTGCCGTAACCAGCGCACACCTAGAAACCCACATCCATCCGATTCATTTCAATGATCCATCTGCGTTCAACTTAAAACTTTTATTGGCATCTGGAATAGTATGATGGATATGAAGCAAACAAGTGTTGTACCCAGATAGCTGATGGTTGCTTAGTGTCGCCTGTTCGATTGACACAGACAGCACTTACAAACAAAGGACAATAGCAAGTTTACAGTGTCACAAGGGCAAATCAAGGGAAATATGCTAACTGTTCCTATTTAGAAAGGACTGCATTTGGCAGAGAGGTGAAGAATATTATTTTAGACTAGAAACTGGGAAGAGGACTGACTAGCAGAGAGAAAGCTTCAAAAGACAAGCAGAGCTCATACACGTTATCACTATTAAAACAGTGAGTTCATAACTTAAGAAACATTTATTCTAGAAGCCCCCAGTATTACACAACCACAATACCACCTCCCTAATATAACAAATTGTGAGTGCAGTCCATCAGCAGACAGTAAACACGCAGTCTAGATGCAACCACTAGCTCAGGAAAGCTCTAAAGCACCAAGCATCAGAAGTTGGGCACTGTCCTGCTTTTTGTATTCCCTCCCTATGGATCCATCTCTGCACTCCTTCAGAGGTAAAACCACTGAAACACTGATCTGACCTGTGATGCCTCTTCTCATGTAGTGTAAGAAGATGGTAAAAAGTAAGACTTTGACTTTTTGATACAGACTACAAAGAAATAAGGTACTCCCTTGCTTCCACCTAACATCTAAGGCAGGTGTTTTATCAGTCAAGAAATCAGGTCACAGAGAGGCTATGCTGTGAGAACGTGATAAAAACACAAATAGGAACTAGAAGACTTAGTTCTTTAGAATCACATAGCGTTCCCTGCCTGCAAAGTAAGGGAAAGAAAAGGGAAGGAGACAAAATAATATATGAAAGACACCATGAGCATCAATCAATAGTCATATGGAGCACAGCCAAAATCAACTCTAAGGTCTTAAAACAGAGCTCTATGTAATTACTATAAACGTTGCTCTTTTAGTTGACCAGTATAGACATATGAATAGCCTGTACAGAGCAGACATCAGCACACAAATCACCTTATTAGTACTGTGCAAAGGGGAAAAAATAGAAAAAAAGAAAAGATATTAAAAAGGTGACTATGTCCAACAAAAACAGAAAGAGGCAAAATCCAGACTAAAGCTGCACTGTCTAGCTCTACTAGTCTACCAAAGGATATCCCTTTTCATGAGGTAGTAGAAGATGAATACTGAGGAATAAAGAGAAGCAACAAGGACTGTAAGGAACAGCATACACAATGTAAATGTGGACTGTTAGATGTTTCCTTTCCACTCTGGGAATGGAAAGACAGGCAAGTAATGGGAGTAATTCTGGCAGGTCTCCCCAAAAAGTCTGATAGAAGCTATGCTATCAGGTAGAGGAGTCCACAAATGTAGGTGCACTCACTTCATTTCACTCTACATAGCAGGAAAAAAGATTACTAACTTTTCTGATGTTTCAGTCTGAATCTGAGTCTCTAATAGTTGATATTATAATGAACTGTGAACTTCATCACATCAAAAGAAGATATAAAAATAGCCCCTCAAAATGTCACATTGAATAAACTAGATATGTTTATACTGGAATTTAGAGAGAATTAACCATTTTCTATTAAATAAAGGTAATGTTACGCTTAATGTCCTTACATACATGTCATGAAGTCTTACTTTTTGTCATAACTTTCCTTTGAATTTCCATCCTTTACTGGAAGAATCACAATCTACTGTTACTTTTCAGGGATTTCTAAGTATGTCACCTCAGATGAGTATGTCCTCTTAGCCCTGTTCCCAAAAGAAATGCAGCCGTGTGACCATCCGGTCTGCTCATCTGTCTCATCTGGATAATCAGTTGGTGAAAATTAATGAAATCCGACACAGAGACAGGGCTTTCAAGATATTAAGTTCCTACAAGTTTCATGAAAAAAGCTGATTGGATATTGATTTTTCAGCTAAGTGAAAAGTTGCAGTGTAACCTTACCCCTTATAAATTACCAGAAAAGGTACGTATGTATGTGTATGAGTGAAGGAACACAGAGATAACTCAAACAGCAGAAGTTTCACTAGAACCTGTATTTTATTAGAGAGCTGAGTACCCAACCAAGGAACACAAATTGTCGAGAAACGAGACCTTCTTGCTTCATGGAATTGCTTGGGTTGCAGTAAATTAATCTGCTTGTTAGTTTGCCGAAGAAAGTTCTAGATACCAAATTATAGCTATTCAAGAAGTTCTTATTTTAACGGAAAAGAGTTGTGACAGAAAATTTTCCACCAAAGTAAGTTTGAATGGTGGCGGCTCACATATCTTAAAGATGGCTAGGTTTACAGCTGCTGAAAATAAATGCTGCTGACCTTTTTATATGGACTCTAAATTTTCAAGAAGAAAGCTAGAGAAAGGGTTAAGAAGAAGAAATAATCTCGACTGGAATGACATCTATCCAACACACACAACTTTGCTATTGCAAGCAATCATGCCTCACAAATGCTTTTCATAAATTAATCAAGCCCCATTTTAAAACTTAGTTTTCTACCCTTTGTTCTTTCCCTTCCAGAACTTTGTTGTCTCATTCTTAAATATCCCCTTTTAATTTCCAGCTTAAATTTATTCACAGTGATTAGATCCATTTGTTCTGCTGCCAAAGTTGACCTTTAGCTTAAATAACTCCTCTCCATTCCTAGTGCTTATCTTCCTGGTGTATTTATAGAGAACAATCTTATCTTCTCTCAGCCTTCATTTTCCTAGGATAAACAAGCCAAGATATTTCATTTGCTTTTGTAAAATGTATTCTCTGTTTTCCCTCAGCATGCTATTAGGTCATCTTTGCTCCCATTCCAATCTGAATTTATCTTGCCTGAACACAAATCTCCAAATTATATTTAATAACCCAGGTGAGGCCACACCAGAATCATGTACACAGCATCAATTCTCCCCCTCTCTACTGTTAATAAAACTCATTGCCTGATTCACAGTAGGATATTGCAGTTGCAATATGTTGGCAGCTTACAATCATCCAACGGCCAGCTCTAAGCCCAGTTCGTTCTCCTCCCCTGTTGCTTCCAACTAATAAGCTCAAAGTTCACTGGAGAATTTCCTATTATTATGTGCAACCTTAAGCTTTGTGTTATTGATGCTTATCTCCTTTTGGCTACTCCAGTCCCTAGAACCGTGAGTTCTTCCTGTAAGATATTCCATTTATTTTCCATATCAGTTTTATCTGCCAGCACTACAATGTCCTGATTTTAATAACACCCTCTTATGTTTTCTACTGAGATCATTAATAAAAATGTCAAGTAATATGGAGCTGAACAATAGGAACTTCACCAATAACCTGCCTCCAAGCCAGTAGTTAAACACTATCCTTTGTAGTTTCCCCATTAGCTCAGTCCTTATCTTCCTCGTCTTCCTGTACAAATTGTCATCTTCTCCAGCTGATAACTCCCTAAATGCATGACACTGGCTTCCCTTGTGTAGATTATTTCATTATCGTTGTAAGGATCAGCATAGCCAGAACAATTTTTACGCTTTCCTACCTCTGGTGGTGAACAAACCTTGAACATATTGCGTGCCTTATATTGCACTAGTCTTCATAAGAAGGCGGTTAAAATAATTGTCTGTGTTAAACTCTGCAGAAGAAGGCATCTTTATGTTCCTTCAATCAGTGAATTCCTCCTGCTCCTCTTTTTGACAAAATTTTGGTATTTTCACTGGGGAAAAGCCTCTCCTGTTACGCTTTGAGGAGCAGTGTGGCCTCAACTTTTGAAACTAATGAACATCTGGAAACCCCAGGTAGACTCCATTTCCATGTAACAAGCAAACATATCTCTCACAACACAAATGCAGGCACTGTCCCTCTCTCTGTGTTTTTTTTTTTTTCCCAAATATAGTAGGTGGTCTAAAAACTTCTAAAAAGAAGTAACTTT